ACAAGGAATAGTTACATTGTATTGTTAAATTCTTACCTCCTTTAATAACTCCATTGGTGCTGATAGCGGACATTGAGAGCGCAGTTATAGTCGTCACCACAGATGTCGTCAGAATCAGGAGCATCGCTTGTACTATTCACGTTAAAGAAATTACCGTTTTTTTTATATTTACAAACTATGAATACAACACATGGCAGGTACACATTATGCTAGGACAGCGTTCAAATCAGCTATAGCATACAACTGGCATAATATAGACGCTAACTGACGTCAAAGTATCAGAACAAACCATGACAACTGTCCAACTTTACTGGCATAACTAAAAATATAATCGCTAAGCCGTAATTTTGTATAAAAGATTTGTACTAAAGGGGGTATTAAAATGACCTTAAGGACTCTAATGGCAATTTATTGCTTTATATGACACTGACCATTTTTAAGCTATCTGAGCCTCTATCAGCCAGTGGTGGGACAGGTCCTAAGGGTGGAATATCTAATACTAACTGATTCCCGCCTGACCGACGACCCAGGAGAGTCGGAGGAAGAGCATAACGCCCCATATGTTGAGAAGACAACGCATCAGCACGCCTTTGATCCAACCGAACTTGATATTGGGGGTGGGCAGCGCCGGACTATCCATATCCTTCTCCAGGGTCTGGCCTGGCTGGAAACACATGCATTTTAGTGATTTATATTTTAAAAAGTATAAAACGTATAATTAGCCTAGATTTAATTGTATTTCGGTAGGTAAATCACTTTAGTAAAAGAAATTATATCATCAAGGTTTCTATTGCAGTGTTGCCAACATAAGAAATATTGCCGTGAGCATTAAGAAGTTAGGGATATAAATAGTTAGTGATATTTAGGAGTTTTACTTCTTCTAAATTCATTTTAGAATATTCAACTCCTTATTTTTACCATCACTTAACGTTACATTAGATTATATTTAACTAGCTTTCGCCCGCGACGCCATTCGGGTGCCATAAAAAAAGTGAGTAACCTATATGTTCTTCCAGACTATCCTCTACATCTATGACGAAATTCATCGAGATCCGTTCAGCAGTTTAGGCTACAAACTCTAACAAACATCCATCTAAACTTTCGCATTTATATATTAGCAGGATTATTAAAACACACAAGAGGAACAGTCAAAGTTATAATAAAACTGATTACGATTTAATGTACTTTATCTGACCGGTATTTAACTGGCTTCTAAAGCTTTTAACTTAATTAAACTTGTTCACGCGACGAGGTCATAGATAGGCGTAAAAACATGTGGTTACACCATGTGTTACTAGATAAAGCGATTAAACTATTTATACAATAATATATCACTTAAAACGCTGTACTAGCAAAAAATACGAGACAATTAGTGTGGTATTCTCGCATCAAACCTGCACTAAGGGAAACTAGAGTAGGTAGTAGTAGTAGCACGTAGAATAGTTACTCTAACTGCGGTATTTAATACGTCTATCATAAAATTTAAGTCATCAACTGTAACATTCTCGTATTAGTAAAAACATATTAGTCATACTACTATGTGGTCAGATATGGGACACCGCCTACATACAACCCTTGACCTTACAACTGTCAATTAACAGACGCTTGGATAATGCACAATGCAACTATTCGTTATGTGGTTCATAGGATGCGATTAGTGACGTTCGCAGCGCCCCCTGGCGATGAAAATATGGTTTATACCTAGCACCTTGACCACTCTACTATACCTTGACTTCATCATCATCATCATCAGTCTTTATCTGCCCACTGTTGGGTATAGGCCTTCCCCAATACCTTCCTCAGATTGCGGTCCTCCGCCTTCCGCATCCAACGATTTCCCGTCGTGCGCACTAAGTCGTCGGTCCACCTGGGTGGAGGACGCCCTACGCTCCGTGACTTCAATTAGTCAAAATTATTCTATACTTTAACCGTGACCCCTTCGCAGGGGATGTATAAAAAAGTTAGTACGCAGCTAAGTATGCTCTACATCTATGCCAAATTTCATTGAGATCCGATTCAGGCATATAGCCAGCAAACTCTAACAAACATCCATCAAAACTTTCGCATTTTTAGTAAGATTTTTGTCGGATGTAATTGTGAATTAAACTTCAAATATACAAACAAAACAACTTATACAAGAAATTTGGATATCATAATATTTTAAAAAGCCCCTTACGATTACGAACGACATATTTGCAGGTGTTTCGGCAGGTGGAAACCAAGGTTAAACGTAACTGTGCTACGACGTAGAAGAAATACAAGAAGGTAATAAAGTACCAATTAGGTAATTAAACAGGCCAATTATCTACAATTGTCTTCTACCTGAACAGTTGCGTCACGAGACAAACAAGCCCTAATTCTTCCTTCGCTGTTTACGAAGCGTATTTTCTACAACTCCTTATGATAACTTCTGTATTCAGAATTACTAACAAATCCTTAGTTTAGATTCCACATAGGTAACTACCACCAGTGTTATTCTGTGATGAAATATTAAAGAAGTTTAAGTACAAAGATTTTTACACAAGAATAAATCAGTCGAAATCTACGATATTTAACAACATAATTGGTTATAGAGGTTGCAGCATAACGAGTTCTACGTGCAACTTAGAACAATTAAAAAGGCAGCTCCTCAATAAGGTATGATTGTGACATAAAGAGGCAAGGTCAAATATTGATCGCTTGTAACCAAACAAACTTTATAGAGGCACCTGAATAAACAAGAATGTATCGATTTATCATAGACAGTGACACAAGAGCAGAAATAAAGGGTTTCCTTTTAAATGTTACTCACAAATCTATCACCTATGGATTTTAGTAAATTCGCGGAAAAGAGAAAGCTCTTTACTACATTCTTTATCTTACTAATATTATAAATATGAAATGTTGTAGGCTGTTTGTTAGTTTGTAGCCTAAACTGTTGAACAGATCTCGATGAAATTTGGCATACATGTAGAGGTTAGTTTGGAAAAACACATACGCTATTCAATTTTTTTTATTCAACGAAGACGGAGTCGAGGGCGAAAGCTAATTAAACACATTTTGATTTTTCGCTCTAACGATAAAACAAAACTTGTCAAATAATAGGTCAAATATCTATTCAATTTTACCCTATAGAAAATTCTAACCAGACTGCAGACATCATAGATTGCATTTAAGTTATGTCCTGCTCTACACAAAGTCGCTAGATGAAACAGAGATGTTTATATCCATGTATTAGTCCATAACATCAGCACCAGCTCGTATACGTCCCACCAAGGGGCTCGGACACTACCCTAAGTAAGGGGTGTCCATGCCAGTCAAGTGCTCAAACCCCTGAGGCACCGACGCTCTTACCTAATGTATAACAGAGTAATATTGGTATTATCTGACCTTCCTTGAGAGCGAGGCGTTGTGCAGCTCGTCGAGCGTGGGACGAGGCGCCGCGTGTAGAGACAGCACGTTCCTGTAGTTATCCAGCCTCGGCAGTGCTTCCCGTGTGAAGTGCCTGGGAAACAGTTAAGCGAAACCATTACCACTATTACGTTAGTATTTGCACTTAGCGGTTTTGCAGTAAATACGTAAATCTGTTGCGACCCTACCTAGTGGCTAAACCTCAGGACTCTATAAAAATCTGCTAGCCCCTAAGTGGTAGGTAATTATACTAGTCTTACTAATAAGTGCGAAAATCAAGACGGATAGATGCGTGAATGTTTTTTTCCTACATATCTCCAAAAAAAGGTTTAAAACATCTGGATTAAATAAGACACAGAACAGAACACATAGGGTAGTTACTAAATTTATGTTAAATTCCGAATAGACAAATCCGCAGGGAAGAGCTCGTACGGACATAAAATTGAAGGTTCCTTCCCTTCTTGTAGTGTAAGTTGAAAAGGTAACTTATTTATATAAAAAGTTGTTTAATTACTTTCTTAATGAAAATGCAATTTCTGTTGTTTTGATACAAATTTTCTATTGTTATTATGCTTGGCATACATTATTTTGTTACTAGCTTGGATTCTTATTAAAACACATCGATAGATGACGTCAGTCACATTTAGTACAGGTTCTGAGAATTTTATACAAGCTGACCGGAATTATTTTTAGTTGATCGTTAAATTATTTATCAACATTCAATATATCATTCTTTTATTTAAAGCAATCTTACTAATATTATAAATGCGAGAATTTAGATGGATGGATGGATGGATGGATGTTTGTTAGAGTTTATAGTCTAAACAGCTGAACGGATCTCGATGAAATTTAGCATAGATGTAGAGTAGTCTGGAAGAACACATTGGCTTCTTAGTTTTTTTTAATTTCACGCGGATGGAGTCGCAGGCGAAAGCTAGTACGAGAGTAGACGTAAATATTGAACCTGATAGCTTTGACCTATATTCTCGCACAACTGTTTAGTCGCGCTTTGATTCCTATGAGCTTATATGGAGGTGCGCACA